ATATATATATATATATGTGCGTTTACCTCTCCATGTGGGCCAGAATCATTTAGGAAACCCTTAGAATCCTTTGAACGCCAAACACATTTGCAAGGCGACGAATCTAATCCCCGGATCCAGTGTGGCTTGGAACTCTCAGCGGCGTGGACACCTTTCAATCTAAACCCAAACTATTACATCCAAGGCAAGACCGCCACAACCGCCAGGGTTTCGGGACTAGGATGCACAATTAAGGTCACAGGGACAAGACTACAATAATAACAGTACTACTACGAATGCTAGTCATATATTATCATCATATTCATTATCATAGTCATAACACTACTACTACTACTACTACTACTACTACTACTACTACTATACTACTACTACTACTACTACTACTACTACCACTACTACCACTAAAGCGCACGACAGGTAGTGGTCATAATTCATAACGATCTCAATATTACTAACGATATGTCCCGATACCGGCGAACTCGCATTCACCGAAGCTTCAAGGACCTAAAGATTCTTGCCCTGAAACAAATAATATAATACACGATAAATATACTACAATGCAGTATGATGTTATATAATATACCCTAAAAAATATAATACAAGATAAATATACTATAATGCAGTATGATGCTTTATAATATACCCTAAATCCAGAAAGGTCAGCCCAACAACTCAAAGCACTCATCTATCCTTGGAAACCTGACGAACTGACCTGCACCGGCACATCCTTGAAGCGTAAGCCTGCTTGTTTTCTTACTGTTCAGGCTTTACCCGGAGATCCCAAAAACGGAATCCAGGTACGACTGGCCAAGGTGAGCTGAATGACTTCGTAATTAACGGCATCACATAGCCCCGGAAAAATCAAAATTCGGAAGGTCTTATGCTAAACATGAGCCCGAAATCCTAAGACCCAAACCTCTACCTAACAACGAAACTCCCAACTCCAAAAGTCCTAAGCCCGAATGTCTACAAACAGAAACAAAAGACTCCAGACCTCTTCGTCTTGTGGCCAACACTAGGTCCCTGGCCGACGGTTGAGTCCATGCAACGAGCTCTTGCAGCTCCTTGCGCTTGGAATGCGATCTGCATGGGAGACCGTCCATTGTTTAGGGTCCAGGGCCTTTAGGCTATCGAGTGTTCGCCCTATAAAGACACTGGTAAATTGGTGTGCCACTCCCCCCCCCCCCCCCCCCCCATTCACTTCCACAGAAACTGCTTTTAACCTGCTTTCAACGTTAGGCCCTAAACCCTAAACCCCATCAATCTGGAGGTCCTGCCACTGCGCCTCTTGAAGCCGAACCTCTCAGGAAGCCAAGGATGCACAGCTTGTAAGGAGGTCGGAATTAGTTTAGGGTCTAGGCTGTAGGGAGGTGGGAAAAATCAGTGGTAAACTCCCGCATATCGCTCCCGCTCGAATAGATTGAGGCGTGTCCTCATTGTTGATTCCCTTACATCCCCCTTTGAGCCCGGTAGCGTTTACGGTTCGTCATGTACAATAACTAAGGATCTTGAATACATCGGTAGTGTCTTCAGCCTTTCAAAAGACTTCCTGAAACTGTCATAAAATACATTGGCTATTGCTATTGCCTCTGCCTCCTTATAGCCAGTGTATTGTAATAGTCAATTCAAACTGATATAGCTGCCTCGGCAATTAGAACGGGGCTTTGGGGTACGTTAGTCTACTAATATTTAATGACGGACTGTAAGGCGTAGTATTAGTGTTTGTATGGATTTATAATTCAGTTGAGACTGCCAGTACAACCCTACGCACAGCGACGTCCCACCCACTGCTTTGCTTCTGCTGCGGACTCAGACTCACGGGGCTGGAGGCTCTGCTAAGATCCTATGGGTCTGCATTTGTGGGTATTTGTGAAGTTGCTTCATTTGAGCATCGTTTCTCGTAGCAGTCGTAATTTGGCTGTTCCTTCAGGCTACTTGTCGTCCGGTGTCTTCACAGCAGCTGTTTTTCTCACTGCCTCTGTTCAACTTGCGTCTACTGATGATGGTGTTCAAGCACGGAATGTTTGCATTCCTGATACGTTTCGGCACACACGGTATGCCATCACTGCAGCAGTCGTTAGATGACTCGTGTCTGGAGGGCTTGGAGGCTTACACGTAAAGCGCTTAGACAGAGCAACAGTATTCAGGTGGACCTCACCTTACCTCAGTCCTCATGATTTGGATCTTGAGTCCCCCTAACAACATACAAGAAAGGCCCCGTCGGCCTTGTCTTCGCTGGGCCTAAAGACTCAGTCCCTCAAACGCTCACACACACACACACCAACGGAATGATGCCTTGGGAAACCTGAATCGCCCCATCCGATCGAAAGCCTTATACAAGTACGACCTCAAGCCCCCGAATCAGCACCATGGCCTTGTCCCCTTGTGGCTGCGTGTAGTCCTGCCAGTGCGTGTTCATCATGAAGAGCGCTCTAAAGGTCTTCCGCTGACCTCCCCAAACCCTGCCAAAGCAGCAAGCGATCACGCGCAAGACGTCTTTGGTGCAAAACCTGCATTACCCGAAACCCTTACAATATGTAGCTTGCTGGATCTGGAGGCGGGGTTAAACTGCAACCCAGACCCGAATTCATGATTACCATGGTTTTGCTTAAGGTGATGCTTTTTTAACGGCACTAGTATAAAGTACTGAGTAAGTATTCGGATTGTTTCTACCATCATTTCTCTCTCTCTCTCTATATATATATATATATCAGTAGCAACATGCTGTAGTAATTTAGAATGAGTATTATAGTAGTGGTATGCATATAATATCAGTATTCGCCCTTATACGCAAATGTTACAAATATTGGTTGTGGTATTATTGTCCTGCGGCGTACTATTGTTGCCGTTCTTAGACCAAGTACTCAGGACCTTCTCTTGCACCAGCAAGCCCTGGCGGCTGACCTTGTAGGAGCCAAGGAGAAGAGCCATCAAGCTCACACAGCAGCTCTCCGACTTCTCCCGCTCAGCATCCTCGAAAGGGCGGAGGGGTAGAGTTTCGGCTTTGTTGGTTCTACAATCTAAGATGAAGGTCTGTGCCGGCCACCCACCCGGTTCTGACAGTTACACAGCAACCACCCTCCATACGTGGACAATCAGCACCCCAGAAAATGCTAACAAAAGCACAGCATGCCTACGTGGGATGTGCAAATCGAAGACCCTGTGCCCCAATTATAAACTCTAAACACCAACAATGTGGATGCTAGTGCTAGCTGTCTGTGCCAAAACTGGGCAGCAAAGTTCTGCTCGGAATTTCCGGTTCTTGTTGAAGGTTTACGCTACCAGAATATATGTGGAAGCAACATTGTTCGTAACATTGTTCGCTGTACATTCCTAATCTGGTATCTTAAACTTACTAATTTCCTGAACAAGAACCCAGGCAGTGATCAGGAAAGGAATGGTTTAAGTGCATGATCGCTGCTCAATGAATGCCGTGCACCAATGTAATCACATAAAAATGTTGCCTTCGTCCATCTGTAGACTGGCTGTCTCTTTTTCTCTGCATATATTATGCATACGAACATCACTCTCCCTATAAACGTAAGCCACTCCACAGCCTGCTCGAACTGGGCGTAGGTGCCATTTTGCGGCGAAAGTTCGGGGATGCATTCCTGGGAGGTGGAGCTGCCGAGGAGTTGGCGAGGAAAGTAACGAGAAGCGGCAACACGGGGGCCTTTCGGGTATTCGTGATTTGTTTAGGGTTCAGGGTTTAGGGAGTATACTGAAGAGGAAGGCAAAGATGTGAACATAGACCGAAAGCCTACATCAGAACAGTATCAAGAACTCGCTCTAGCCTTAACCCAAAACCCGAACCGTAAACCCTACATAGTCAAGAACGAAATGCAGAAGAACCCACCTGTGTGAGCCTCTACGCCCCTGCGAAGGTAAGTTGTTTGGAAGATGCGACCCACAAGCAAACCCAACAACCAGCCCCCAAGAGTCGGGAAGAAACCGTCTTGAGTCTGAACTCTAAGCCCAGTTTTGGAACCCAGAACCTCTTACAGGGTTGCTTACAGTGTCCTTTTCTAGGGTTCCTTGTAAGGTCTCTATTTAACATGTATTCTGAGAGCCCAGCGCGCAGTGAGGACACAGCCTCTTCCATGCTGACCTGCTTGCACTCTAGCACGTTAGCTGCAGCCCGAACGTAGAGGCGGGCTCATGTCAGTAATTCGTAGTGTCCCTGATGGCGCCTATACAACTCCAGCATCACATACCTCAAATCCCCACTCTAATTACTACTTGTAACTCTCGTTACCTACAGTTTAGCATCCACTACCCCTTAAGTTTGATTAATAGGTAGGTACTGTAGAACCCATAAAACTGTGGGGAATTGGAGTCCAAGGCAAGGCTGCTCATCAGAGCCCAGTACACAGACTGCAAGTTGCGATTGCGACCACGCAGCGGTTGCAAATAACACAGGGCTTAGCTACAGGGTTCATGGCCAGGGTTCGGGTTTAGGGTCTCAGATCGGGCGAACCGGGGCCAACATCAACCCAAACACTAAACTCTAAACCAAACGCCCTCACCCTAAACCCTAAACCCGACCTGCTTGGAAAGGAGCTGCCCGGCCAACTCGCTAAGAATCTTCCCGTTCAAGATGGAGGACGACCGCTTGATGCCTTGGACTCGAGTTTAGGGTTTAGGGGTTAGGCCGGTTTAGGGCTTAGGGAGTGCCTTGACCTGCTGAGTTCAGCCTTTTAGGGTGCGCCGGGCCTGTAGAGGATACCGGTTTGTGAAGTTCGTTGGGTGGCCTGCTGGCTTTAAAGGTGTGTGTTTTTGAAGAGTTCAGTCTGACGGGTTCCGGGAGGTGCGGATCAGATGCGAGGATGTCACTGCAAGCGTTCTGAAAAGCTCGCACAAGGGTTAACATAAGGGTTCTATAAGGCAGGGTTCTACAAGAGTTGCCTGGCGAAGATCTGAACATGCGGTAACAGATTTTGGGGCTGCGGAGTTGAGGCGTCGGGCTTGATACATTCCGGAATTGGAATCGAATACTCAATGCTCCAAAATCCTTAGAGCCCAAGCCCTAAACCGAAACCCCCCCTCGCAAAAGCAGTGCTTCTAGAACATCCCCAAAGTCACTCCCTTCAATCCGCTCTTGCCTCAAACCACTCTCCTAAAAACCCTAAACCCTATAAACCCCAGGCCCTAAA